GGGACCCTGACATGGGGCTCGATCCCAGGACCCTGAGATCATGACCTGAGCTGAAAGGCAGATGCTTAACCGACTGAGCCACCCAGGCGCCCCAAAAGTAACCATTATTTTAAGTCATCTTTTTGCTGACAAATTGCAACAGAGATAACACGAGCTTATTTGACCTACAGTAAACCTTGGTAGAATAAAAGTTTCATATTTAATGCTGATAACTCTAAAGACATGTCTATCTTAATTAAACCAACAAACTTAGTTTAAATACTGAATTAGGTTCTACCTGGATCTTCTTTTAAAAGTCAGTCAGCTTATTTCCCATTGTCAATTTTTACCTGAGACAGTGGTAGGGAAATCTGAAGTGGGCAGTGTTAGGTCCAGGGGGTCCTCTTCTTAGCTCCTTGACATCGAGGGGAGGAGGAGCCAGTGGTACCAGAGGCACGGAGGATGGTCTAGAAAGAAGCCAGTTATGCAGGCTGCACCCAAGGTTGGGGAGACAGAAGAGGCAAAGTGCTGCCAGAAGGCAGAGACAGGGTTCCTGGTTCTAAACCTGGTCAGGTCGGGCAGATGAGCAGATGCCATGTGTTTTTTTTTTTCAGAATTTCACTGAAACAGAGTTTCGGTAGCTGTTTGGGAATATTCCTTAAAGTCCTGTCCCGAGGTGGACTAACCACAATGGGCTCTAATTATAGCCACTAACCCCCGGGAAATGAGAGAGAAGCCCCCACATCTATTAGGATGAACAGTGAGAGAGAGTCAGTGTCCCCTTCATCAGGGATGGCCTGTGTTTCCTCCAGCAACCTGGGTTTATTCAGAGGCCTATTTAGATCATTATCATCCAGTATATCAGGAGGGAGTTCACATTCTGCAAGAGGCCCTTCGGTTGGGGTCCTGATGTGGAGCACCAAAGGACTGGACCTAGGGGGGTACCTCTGTCCATTTGCCCTGTTTCCCGCAGAAGAGATCTGATAGGTCCTGCTGAGGCCATGTAGTGTTACAGGAGATCAATCCTCTTTTAAATTTTGCAATAGGAATGGTTTCCAGTGGGTTAAAATGCATCCCAAGGGAGAATCCTTGGGCCCTGAAGAAGCTCCCCTGCTCCTTGGGAACTGAAGAATAGAGAAGGTCCATTACCAAAAAGGCTGACTCCCTGGGTGACATCCCACACAGGATATGTCAGAGGTTCCAGGTGTCAAAAGTGAGTGGAGGCGTCCTTCAAATGAAAATTGCTACCTGCCTTGTCATGAAGGCAGACCTGCTGTAAAAGGACCTATAGGAGGGATGCTAGCATCCCACTTCTCCATTGCATTCTAGGCTACAGATTGGTGCCTGGCATATGGACTGAGTAGCCTGCCGTTTTTGACCCATGGAAATAATTAGAAAAGTTTTACAAGGGAAAATTACCCAATTTTGTAATTTAAGTAGTTAATAGAGAACATTGATGGAAAACAGTAAAGACAGAACTCCACCATGATCTAAGCAATATTCCAACACACGTAGTCTTTACAGCCATCTTCTCTAGGAAATGGTCCCCGGTTGGGTTTTAATTCAATTGGATACTGGTTTCAGCCAGCTCTGGGTGAAAGCCTCATGGCTAGAAGCAGCTAGACCAGAGTTGTGGAGGGGATCACATTAGACCAATGAGGAGGAAACCTCACACGGGAATCTTAGGATCAGCAGCTGTCCTAGTCACTTAGGTGACTGTCCCGTGCCCTAGACAGACAACTCTGTATGAGGATAGGAATAAAAAGAAAGCATCAAGTTTCTGGGTCTTATTACAATCCTGGCCAGAGTACTAACTTCCAGCCAAAAGGCAGGCTTTTTTTCTCCCCGTAGAGTAGCCACAGGCTAGAGGACTGCAGCCTGAGCGAGCCATCTGAAAGTGTTCCAGTAAGACCATACTGCTTGAAAAGCCCCTGAAATGAGAGTAAAGGAAGAGTAGAGAAAATACTCCTCAAGTTAGCACCGAGGTTCAGAGTCCAGATGAAAAGACTCAAAGCCCCACATTGGGCGCCAAATGATGTAGTTTCTGAGTAGTGTGGTGTTGGGGTCCCGCCTGAGCCAACAACCAAGAAGGAATTCTTGAGAGGTCTTTGGTGCAAAAATGGTGGGTTTTTTTTTTTAAGATTTTATTTATTTATTTGAGAGAAAAAATGGTGGTTTTATTAAAGCATGGGGACAGAACCCCTGGGCAGAAAGAGCTGCTACCCCAAGATTGTGAAGGGCAACTGATTATATACTTTGGGTTGGGGAAACTGAAGCGAAGGGAAGTTCCAAAAGGATTTTCCAATGCTGAAGAAGACTCACAGCATCCTGGAGGCCTTGCCATTGTCAAGCTAAGGTAGTTTTTCCCTCCAGCAAAGCATTAACGTTAAGACAGTTGGGAGTTTCCTGGAGGAACGTTATATTCCACCTGCCTCAAGTATTTGTCAGGCTTCAGGTTAGAAGGTATTTAATTTTATCTACATTTCCTTCTGCCTTTGTCCTACATCCCTTTTACATGCCTTTATTATAGCTTAGGGTAAATATTAAGCAGATAGGAGTGGTACTCCCGCTTACATAAGGGGCATAAGTAATAGGGAAATAACCTAGGCTCAAGCCTTCAGGAACTGAACCTCTGGCAAGAAGCCTGGAAAATAAATAAAAGACACTATGAGTACCCTCTAGGGAGCTTTCTTTCTTTCTTTTTTTTTTTTAAAGATTTTATTTATTTATTTGAGACAGAGAGAATGAGATACAGAGAGCATGAGAGGGAGGAGGGTCAGAGGGAGAAGCAGACTCCCCGCCGAGCAGGGAGCCCGATGCGGGACTCGATCCCGGGACTCCAGGATCATGACCTGAGCCGAAGGCAGTCGCCTAACCAACTGAGCCACCCAGGCGCCCCTCTAGGGAGCTTTCTTGTGTCTGCAGTCAGCAGGGGCCCTTCTTGGCCTTCCATGACGCCATTACCTTATCACTGTCACTGCACGTGGCACCTATATTGTATTATAATCGCCTTTTTTTTTTTTAAAGATTTTATTTATTTATTTGACAGAGAGAGAGCACAAGTAGGCAGAGCGGCAGGCAGAGGGAGAGGGAGAGGCAGGCTTCCCGCCGAGCAGGGAGCCCGATGCGGGGCTCGATCCCAGGACCCTGGGATTATGACCCGAGCTGAAGGCAGATGTTTAACGACTGAGCCACCCAGGCGCCCCTATAATCACCTTTTTTGAGAGTCTTACTTGCCTCACTAGATTCTGAGCTTCTGGAGGTATAAGTGTGTCTGATCCATCCTTGCATCACCAGTACCTGGCACTCAGTAATCTCCCAAGAAATGTTTACAATGGATGAATGTTAAGTGTGAAGGGGTGTGATCTTTTCCTCCAGCTGGCCAGCTTGGGCCAAGCATCCCCCTTTTCACACCCTCAGAACACCCTCTTACTTTTGTCTGTTTACTGCCACTTCCCCGGGTAGATCAGGTGTGTGTGCCCTGAGGGCAGGGACAGCCGTTTCTGCTGATCAACCCATCCCAGCTGCAGTGGGCCACCCTCAGCCCAAAGGCCACCAAGCAGGATGGGAGAACAGGGGCGGGTTCAAAGCTTTGCTAGCCTCATGTGTCGTGACACTGGTGTTGCTGCTTAGCATCAAAACTAAAATACAGAATCATTTTATTGGCAGTGAACCCCATCTCATCCTGAAGCAACAAGAAGGGGAATGTTTCTGCTCACTGGTCATAAAATCCTAGGCTCCTCATTGTGGCACACTGATTTCAGGTATGAACAACTGTGGAATGAGTAGATTTATTTGTATATATATAACAATATATGCATAATCTAAATGATTAAGTTTATTCGTATTTTCTTAAATTTAGTTAACATTGTTTTGCTTTCTTTTTTACGATGCCTTCTATTTATGGCAGTTAAATGCAGTTTTTTTATGTATGGCAATAAAGTGCTTAATTTTTTTATCTAAGTAAGAGTCGATTTAAAGAAAAAAGTAAATGATACAGGTATACGCATATATGACAAAAATTATGAAGCACTATTCAAGTAAGTCAGATTAGCCTTTAGTGGAATAGGGATTGTTGACCAAGATGTGGCTTAGCCTGAGTGAAGTAAGCCAGGGGTCAGCCAGCGTGCTCCACAATCCCTGGACACTGTCTGCAAAAATGATACAGAAGGTGGATTTTCCCTAGGAGAGGATCAGACTTTTTTCTCAAATTGTTTTTTTTTTTTTTTTTTTAAAGATTTTATTTATTAATTTGAGAAAGAGAGATAGCGAGAGCAGGAACACAAGCAGGGGGAGTGGGAGAGGGAGAAGCAGGCTTCCCGCGGAGCAGGGAGCCCGATGTGGGGCTCAATCCCAGGACCCTGGGATCATGACCTGAGCCGAAGGCAGACGCTTAACGACTGAGCCACCCAGGCGCCCCTCTCAAATTGTTAATCTGTGACCCAAACATGATCACAACCTTCACAAACTCCTACAGCTATTCAGCTTTTTGCTGATTCCATTGCTCACCAAGGAATCTTCAGATTCCTCGTTTACTAACAATCCTAATTACAGATCCCTTAACTAAAGTAAGGCAGTGTTCTGGACAGGAGATTCACCAGGTCTGGTTACAGGAATACAGACCTCACTTAAGATGAATAAACAGACATCTGGTTTCCAAATTAATCTCATGAAATTCATCAGCATGAACCTGTCTCATTTAGTCTGACCCAAGTTTTTTAACTTAAAACAAGAACAACAAACCTTGGATGTGAAGTGTGTCTTTCCCGGCTGACTGCCCCCTCTCTGAGGGCAGGACCTGGGGAGTCCTATTTTGGTGACTTCGCTAGGGCCTACCATAGGGCTGGCCACAGGTGGACAGGACGGAGGAAGGAAATGAAAGCTATTTCCCCACAGGACAGTAGCCACATACAGTGTGACACACAGACACACACAGGAGGGGACAACATCCCTATGTGGTGGTATTTCCTTGGGTTACTGAGATGGACAAAGAGTTAACCAAAAAGTGAACAGCAGCATTGTTTTTTTTTTTTATTCTTATGTTAATCCCCATACATTACATCATTAGTTCTAGATGAAGTGTTCCATGATTCATTGTTTGTGCATAACACCCAGTGCAACATGCAGAATGTGCCCTCCTCAATACCCACCACCAGGCTAACCCATCCTCCCACCCCCCAGCAGCATTGTTTTTAATGAATTTTAGTCCAGAATACAGAGGAAGGCACTAGCTGTTGCCCTGACTTGTTAGTACAAGTGTAAAAAATGGCTTTTTGTTCCCCTATAAAGGCAAGTTACAGAAATCTATCAGATGGACAGAATAAGACATTTGAATCTAGTTTTGAAAAATCAGCCTGGAAGCTAGGAGTACTGTTGGCATCTTTCCCGGTACTCTTTCCTTCACACCCACCCCCCATCTATCAATTAAAGTTCTGATACTTTCTTGATCAAGAGATTTTGTGAGAGAATTTCTCTTTTGAGACTTTTAGTGTGCAAGTGTCATTTTTCTTGGTTTTGCTGCTGATGTCCTTGACCTCCACCGGGAGTTGGCACAGTTCTTCAGGAGTTCTTCTGAGGCACTTTGACCGTGACCTGTAAGAGGGGAGCAGAGCAGCTGTTAAATCTTCCTGCTTCCCGGCGATCTGTGGGCACTCTCAGCTGGGGTGCTGCCAAGGACGAGCACAAGGGCTTCCTTTACTTCTGATAGCTTGATAGACAACTGCCCAATCCCAGGGACCCAGCTAGGGCCCTGTTCTGCATGAGAACATTCTCTGCCTCCCCTTAATCCAGTCATTTTTTATTGTCACGGGGCAGAAGAGGGCGGGATTGCTATGGCATCTAGTAGATAGCAGTCAGGAATGCTGCCCATGGAACGTCCCACGCTGCACAGGACAAACCCCACAACAAAGAATTATACAACCCCAAATGTCAACAGTGCTGAGCTTGAGAGACCCTGACCTACACCCATATTTTCCTCCAAAAGAATCAAAGTAAGGGAAAAAATAACATGCTAAAGCTTACAGGTGTGTCAGTGTGTCAAGTGGGAAGATTCCAGACTCAGATGGATTTGGTTAAATCCCAGCTTTACCCCCTACTGTGCAAGGACTTCACCTCTGTGTGCCTCGATTCCTCATCTGCAGGATGGGATAAAGACAGACTATCCCTCCTGGGGTTGTTGTGAGCACTGATTGAGATAACCTGCATAAGGAAGTCTAGCAGATTCTGGCACAAAGTAAGCTCTCAGTAAAGATGAGTTCAAAAGAAGACATTTTCTCAGCAGTCCCCCCTTGCAAACTTGATTTCTTTTCTGAAAAGTTTTTAATCCTATTTTTGTTAGGATTATCACTTGAGTTCCCCAAACTCAACAGCTTACACTTGGATTCCTGCACGAACCACCTCAACTCAAGCCTCCTCTTTTCAGGGTCTCTCTCCCCCTGCCCTCCAGGAAATCCAGATACTGGGACTCCTGGGGCTCAGTCCTAGCATGGCCCCCGCAACACCATACCTAAATAATCTCATCACTGTTTTGATGAACAGTTATAGGCCAGTGTCAGGTTCAAATCTGGATCTTGCCTCTTGTCTGGGACAATTTTATTTATTTTTTTAAAAAGGATTTTTTTTTTTTTTAAAGATTTTATTTATTTGACAGAGAGAGACACAGCGAGAGAGGGAACACAAGCAGGGGGAGTGGGAGAGGGAGAAGCAGGCTTCCCGCGGAGCAGGGAGCCCGACACGGGGCTCGATCCCAGGACTCTGGGACCATGACCTGAGCTGAAGGCAGACGCTTAACGACTGAGCCACCCAGGCGCCCTAAAAAGGATTTTATTTATTTGAGAGAGAGAGAGACAGAGCACATGAGCAGGGGCAGAGGGAGCGGGAGACACAGACTCCACTGCTTAGCAGGGAGCCTGACGCAGGGCTCGATCCCAGGATCCTGGGACCATGACCCGAGCGGAAGGCAGAGGCTTAACCGACTGAGCCACCCAGGCACCCCTGGGACAATTTTAAATAAACAAGCAAACAGGTTTATTTTATTCCAACAAGCTTCTTGAGAACACAGGTTGTGGCTTACCACTGAGTACTGAATGAAGACCACATCCACCCTTCTCGCCCTGCTCCCCTGGCTGGTTTGCGTGCCCTGAGCCTTCTCTTCCCCAATCCTGGGAAAGCCCAACTTAGCCCATTACTCTTTTCTTTAAATATCACTAGTGAGTTTGTTGCCTGGTTAAACTGTAATTAGTGTCCATTGTAGAGAAAATTATTTTCACTTTGGTGCCTTTCTTTCCTGTCTTTTCCATAGTTATAAATAAAGGTACCTGAGTATATATATGTACATACAGCCTTTAAATTGGGTTCATACTGCACGTATTACTTTGTATCCTGTCTTTTCACTTTAAAGGATGATCATTTTCCATGTCAAATATCCTACAAAAATATATTTTTAAGGATTTATTTATTTATTTATTTATTTATTTGAGAGAGGGAAAGAGCAGGCCCATGTGGGGGGTGGAGGTGCAGAGGGAGAAAGAGAGAGAATCCTCAAGCAGACTCTGCGCTGAGCATGCAGCCCAACGTGGGGCTTGATCTCACGGCCCTGAGCCAAAACCAAGAGTCAGATGCCCAACCGACTGCACCACCCCTGGCACCCCCTACAAAAATATTTTTAATGGCTACTTAGTAAACCATGATTTGGGTGTTCCATAATTTATTGGGCATTTAGGTTACATTTGACTTCTTCATCTTTGAGAGAGAATGCTGTGATGAATATTTATGGAATAATACTTTCTTTGTATTTCTGATTTGTCCTCCAGGCTACATTCCTATCACTGACATTAGGATTTTGGTGTATTTATGGCCCTTGGTCTCTAATGCCTCACGGCTTGATCCTTAGTAGAAGCTTTTCCCCACTGCTTCGGCCCACTAGGAACCGCCCTTCTTCTCAAGTCTTACAGAACTTGGCGTATAACAAAGCCTAGCAAAGGACTGTGCAGGCATAGTGGTGGCCAGGTCCCAAGTCATTTCTCATGAGACAGAGCAGAGACTGGGTCCTCACCCTTTTCTGTAGCTTCTGTGGCTTAAAGCAAGAAACTAGTAATAAGTACTGACGGAGCCCAGTGAGAGGGAAAGCTGAGAAGGCGCCCATACTCACGGTTTTCACTTCGGTGTATGCCTGCAGCGCATACTCTCCCAGCTCCCGGCCACTCCCGGACATCTTGTAGCCGCCGAATGGGGACTGGGCCCCAAACACATCATAGCAGTTGACCCTATGATATGAAACAAGATTCAGAAGTAACTTGCAGGAAGATGTGTGTGTCATACGCCTCCGACCTCCTGAATGGCTCTAAAATATTACTGAGGATAAATGGATAGGTCGAACCATAGTTATAACCAGCCATGTAGGAGCCAAAAGCAAACTACATGAAACAAAGCCGTAAGTCATCACCCCTCATGATGTGGTCACAGATGACTGTTAGTAACAGGGTGCACCACATCATAGCTTCCCATTTTAATGAATCGTTTTTGCTAACTAGGTACTTTTTTTGCAGTTCTTAAAAATTATTAAATTTTAAAAAAAATTTACTTGAGAGAGCGAGAGCACGAGAGCACAGAGGGAGAGTGAGAAGGAGAAGGAGACTCCCTACTGAGCAGAGAGCCTGATGGTAGGACTTGATCCTAGGTCCCTGAGATCATGACCTGAGCTGAAGGCAGACACTTAACTGACTAAGCCACCCAGGCACCCCTAAAAATTATTAAATTTTAATTGAATTTAAAATTCACAACTTTCAGGTGCACAATTCAGTGGATATAGCAGATTCACAGTGTGGTGCAATCATCACCTCCATCTAATTCCAGAACATTTCTATCACCCCATAAAGAACCCTGTACCCAATAAGCAGTTATTCCCCACTCCCCACCCTTCTAGCCCTTGGAAGCCTCTAATCTGCTTTCTGTCTTTATGGATTTGTCTATTCTGGACATTTCATATAAATGGAATCACACAGTATGTGGCCTTTTGTGTCTGGCTTCTTCCACTTAGTATCACATTTACAAGGTTCATCTCTGTTTGTTATATGTATCAGCACTTTATTCCTTTTTATGGCTGAATGATATTCCATTGTGTGGATAGACCACATTTTGTTGATCCATTCTTCAACTAAAGGACATTTAGGTTGTCTCCACCTTTTGAATATTGTTAATAATCTGGTATGAACATTCAGGTACAGTTATTTGTGCAGATGTAGGTTTTTATTTCTCTTGGGATGGGAAATCTCTATTATACCACACCCTGACCCAGAAGGAATTGAGCCCAGCACCCCAAATTCTAGGGTGTGGCACTAGATTCCAGAAGACCCTGGCTTGGGGATGTCTGCCTAGGCTGTGAGGGGTTGACAGGAGGCTCTTACCACACAGTGCCAGCCTGGAGGGCTTGGGACAGATAATTGGCCTTGTCCAAGTCCTTGGTGAAGACAGCTGCAGCCAGCCCATATTTGGAATTGTTGGCTCTCCCAATGACTTCCTCTATGGTCTTGAACTTCAGGATCTGCATCACTGGCCCAAAGATCTGAGGTAAGAGAGTGCACAGTTGGGAGGGTGTAGCATACACAGAAACCACCTGCCATCCAGCTTTCACAGTGCAGAGCAGATCATTCCAGATCGAGCCCCCAGACATACCCTAAGAGTTCCACAGGGAGACAACAGCTCCCAAGTTCAATGAAACACAAAGGGAAGGAAGCTAATGGGGATCAGTTACATTCTATAGGCCACGTGCTTTACACCACTGATTCCTGAACAATCCTGCAAGGTAGGGGTTTCTGGCATGTTACACGTAGATTGTTTCAAAGAATTTACATCAGTTTTTTCAGCAAGGCACACACTAAAAGCTGAAGAAGTAACTGAATGAAACAGGGTCTCTGCTCTCAAGACATCCAGGTTTATTTGGTACTTTCCCTGTCCTATTCCTGGCATGAGCCATTTCTTCAAGGAATCCTGGTTCTTTTTAGTGGAGAATGAGATTCAAAAGCCAACTCACAGGGGCCAGATGTGCGGATGCTGTGGGGTGTGGCCGCTCTCAGCCCTATCAAGGCAGAGCCCTGGGGGGAATGCAGTGTAGGTGGTCCTGATGTAATCAGGGCATTAGAAGGAACCAATACAAGCTGTGTAATGAGTGCTGAGAGCCCACGGGAGCTCCTGGACCGATGAGTGGAGAGGAGGGGTGAGGCTTTGCAGAAGTGACAGCCAAGCTGTGATACTGGCCAAGCCAGAGTGCAGGTGGGGAGCAGGGAGGAGGGAAACGGAGTTCCAGGCATAAACACACCCAGCACCTATCCTCATGAAATCCCACTTTCCCCTAAAAGGGAGCAGGACTTCTTAAAGAAATGGCTGATTCCAGGACTGCCTGGGGAGTGTCGAGGCAGAGGCGGGGGAAGAGTGCCAGGACTCATCATGGTTGGAGCAGGACTGTGGGATGGGGCGTCATGTGCTTTGGGCACTGGCAGAGCAGAGGCACCCCCCACCCTTCTGGAAAAGTGATATTTGAGACTTCAAAAAAAGCATCAAAGTAGTCATGATGGGGAAAGAGGCAGAACTCTGTTGGACTTTGTTCCCCTGATTTTGCATTTTCATATTATTTTATTTTGAATTGTACATGAACAGTTAATATTTTCTGTGCATGAGGCTGCTAAAGGACTAATCCACTGGGGAAGGGGAGCGTGTGTGGACCCCATGAGGGCAGGGAACACATCTTGCATACCTCTGGATCTCCAGGGTCTCTAGAGAGCCTGGCACAGAGCAGGCATTCAGTAAGTGTTTGTGAAATGAATGAATGAGTGAGCCAGAGCTGCTGTCCTGCATTCATAATGAGTGCTGAGAGGGAGAACATCGGGAGCCTTGCCATGTGGGGAAGTCACAGCCCTTCGGTCTAGTCCAGTGTCCTGCTTATATGAAGATCATAAAAGGGCTGAGCAAAACCATTCCTTGACTCATGGCTCACAGGGACCACAACACAAAGGCCCTGGAAACTGCAAGGGAATTTGGAAGTTCTCCCCAACAGTGGGTAGCCATAAGGGGTGAAAGAGGGGAATGACCAGATCAGATAGAATTGTAAATAATTTGTCTTAGGCACAGAGCCAGAATTTGGCCCAAAACCAGCGGATGGGTCATGGTATGAAGACGCCAAACTTAATTGTCCACTTCTCCTAAGAACATTCCCCAGAATGCTGGCCCCATGCTAACTTCCTCCCTGGCGATAGTCATGCTGTCTTGCACATCTCCGAACACGGTGGGCTGGATGAAGTAGCCACGGTCAGCAGCAACCCCTCCACCACACAGCAGCTTCGCCCCCTCCTCCTTTCCAGATTTGATATAACCAAGGATCTTCTTAAACTGAGTTTCGTCCACCTGCAGGAAAAGAAGTCCCAAGTTTCAGAGATGCTAGAGCCAGACCTCTCCTAGCTTTAGGCTTAGAACCACACAGGCAATGAATGAGACAACTGAGCAACCACTGAGGCTTAGAAATAAGCAAGGCTCAGAAAAGGAATTACAAAGGGCCAATAAATGTAAGTAAAGGGTCAACCAACCTCATTAGCCCTCAAAGAAATGCATATCAAACCCATTGTTTTTATTTTCCAACTATGAAGGAACTAAGAATTCAAAATAGTGAGAAAATAAATGTGCTTGCTTCGGCAGCACACACACTAAAATTGGAACCGTACAGATATTAGCATGGCCCCTGCCCAAGGATGACACAGATTCGTGAAGCATTCTAGATAAATAAAATAAAATAAAATAATAATAATAAGAAAATACATTGATGGCAAGAGTATGTTACAGACATTCTAATATTCATATGCTCTCAGAAAGACTAATACAATGTCATATGTCAGTTGTATCTTAATTTTAAAAAAAAGGCCTATAAGCTGGTACAGCCCTTGTGGCAGGTGCTTTATTTTTTTTTTTATTATTATTTTTTTTAAGATTTTATGTATTTTTTTGACAGAGAGAGACATAGCGAGAGCAGGAACACAAGCAGGGGGAGTGGGAGAGGGAGAAGCAGGCTTCCCGCGGAGCAGGGAGCCCAATGCGGGGCTCGATCCCAGGACCCTGGGATCATGACCCGAGCCGAAGGCAGACGCTTAACAACTGAGCCACCCAGGCGCCCCAGGTACTTTATTAATATTGGTCAAAAAATGAAATACTCATACCCTTTGATCCAGGTATTTAACTTCTAGGAATTTATTCTACATGTCACAATGGGACCGAAACAAGGATATTCACTGAGGAGCACTTTGTAAAAGTAAAAAACAGAAACAATTCTAAGTATACATCAGTAGAGGGGCTGGCTAAAATAATTACTGTTTGTATATATAATATATATTGTGTCCTTGTTAATAATAAATCTGTGAGGCGCCTGGCTGGCTCAATCGGTAGAGCATGGGACTCTTGATCTCAGGATCATGAGTTCAAGCCTCCTGTTGGGCATGGAGCCCAGTTTAAAAAAAAAAAAAAATTGATCTGTGAACTGACACTGAAAGATAGCCTAAGGTATTCTGTAAAGGTGAGGGAAGCCTGTAGAATGTTATATAATCCTGTTTTTGTTAAATATACAAAAATGTAACTCTGTGCATGTGCATGTGTGGTTATCTATGGGGAATAGACATGGAAGGAAGCCAAGGGGGTCTTATTTTTTCCTTTAAACACTTTTTATTAAAATTTTTATACAAGTTTATATTACCTTACTAATTAAATAGCCATAAACTACAAAGAAAAACAGGAGAGAAAAAAAAGATGTTGGGATTCATAGTAGCACCATTCACAATAGCCAAAAAGTGGAAAAAACCCAAGTATCCATCAGCAGATAAGTAGGTAAGGAAAATGTGGTATGTCCATACAATGGTATATTCCTCAGCCATAAAAAGGAATAAGCTACCAAGTAACAAAAAGATATGGAGGAAACTTAAATGCACATTGTTAAGTAAAAGAAGCCAATCTGTAAAGGCTACATACTGTATGATTCCAGCTATATGACATTCTGGGAAAGGCAAAACTATGAAGACAGTACACAGATCAGTGGTTGCCTAGGGTTGGGGGTAAGGGAGGGATAAATAGGTGGAGCATAGGGGAATTTTAGGGCAGAGAAACTATTCTGTATGATACTGCGATGGTGGATACATGTCTTTATATATTTGCCCACACTCACAGAATGCAACACCAAGAGTGAACCCTAAAGTAAACTATGGACTTTAGTTAATAATAATCTATCATATTGGCTCATCAGTTATAACAAACGTACCATACTAAGGCAAGATGTCAATAATCAGGGAAATTAGAGGGGAGGGGTGGGGAATGAAGGGAACTTTGTACTTTCTGCTCATTTTTCTATAAACCTAAATTGCTCTAAAAATAAGTCTATTAGAGTCGGGGAGGTGGGAAAAAAAATAAGTCTATTAATTAAAAATAAAAATAGACTGGTTTTGGCCAGCCCTGGAACCTGGGGAGTGGACACCAGCAGCAGACATCCTCAGGAGGATGGAACCTGTAGAGAGGCACCCATGGGTCCCAGAAGTGGGACTGGTGGGAGCTGGGAGCACCCCTGACCCTGTGGACTCCTTTCTTCTTGAGGGGGTGGCTGGGGGAAGCCAGCACAGGACCCTATGGAGAGAGAGTCCAGGATAGGCGGCGTCTAAGAATAATGCTGGAGTAAGGCCCAGGACATGAGAGGAAATGGTGGGCAGAGACACTGTGTTTCTTCTTGTTGTAATTACTATTGACTGTTGTTTTGGTTAAAATGAGTATGTGCTCATGGTAAAAAAAAAAAAAAAAAAAAAAAATATATATATATATATATATATATACACATATTTTTTATTTTTAAATATTTTATTTATTTATTTGACAGAGAGAGACAGTGAGAGAAGGAACACAAGCAGGGGGAGTGGGAGAGGGAGAAGCAGGCTTCCCGCTGATCGAGCCTGGGGCTCAATCCCAGGACCCTGGGATCATGACCTGAGCCGAAGGCAGATAGATGCTTAACCACTGAGCCACCCAGGCGCCCCTATATATATTTTAAATCCAACATTTCAGAATAGCATAAAGTGAAGTAAAGTCCCTCTGCTACCCAGGCCATGGCCCTCTGCCCCACTCCCCAGAGATAACCACAGTTAACAGATACGTGTGTGTCCTTCTGGAAGATGCATTTTTATGGATGGCCAAGGTCCAGAATTTTACACAGATACTCCTAATATTTATTATATGTATGAAATTTACAAACTGGTTTCCATTTTTGATTTCCACTTCAAAGCTAGCTTGTGGATTCAGGTAGATGGTTATTACAGATGAGAGAACAGTGGCTCAGAGAGGGCATGTGGCTTCCCAGGGACACACAGCTGGCACATGGCAGAGCTGAGACTTGAAGCCAAGCCTGCCTGCCTCTGAGTCTGAGACCCCCTCTGCTTCTCCACGCTGGCTCCAGACACCCAGACCCATCTGCAGCAGCCGGGCTTACCTGCGGCCCCTGCTCAGTCTGGCTGTCAAAGGGGTTCCCAACCACACGAGACTTGGCCCGGGCAACGCTCCGCTCCACAAACTCGGCGTACACATCTTCTTGCACAAAGGTCCGGGAGCCCGCACAGCAGCACTGGCCCTGGTTGAAGAACAGGGCGAAGTGGGCCTGCTCCACGGCCCAGTTCACTGGGGAGGCAGAAAGGCACCCATGAGAAGAGACGGAGGATGAGCCTGGCCCCAGCGTCTGCTTACGCTCTTAACCCGTTTATGCCACCAACAGCGCTGACCAGGACAGGCCTGATCTCTCCCTTCTTGCGGTGTGGACACCCAGCAGACAGACACAAAGAGAGAGGAGGTCATAGCCCTCCGTGGTAACAGACAAGAGGGTGGAGGCAGGACCCACCCAGCCAGCCCAAAGCAGTCAGGGAAGGGCAAATCAGGGGGCACCTTGGCAGGACCAGGAAAAGGGGTATGAGGAGGAGGAGCAGTCTGCTCCAAGAGAGTGTGCAGTATGGCTGGGCAGCTAAGTAGCACAGCCCGGCTGGATGGTGGGGAGCAAAGAGGAGAGAAGCCGGGGAGAGACCAGGTCATGCAGGCTGGAGGGCCATGCTGTGGACTCTGACCTTCGTCCTGAGGCCCAGGGGGCAGACACTGAGTCCAGAAGTTGCTGAAGCTCACAGAAGTGAGTGGAGCCACAGTATGGACAGCTAGTGGCTGCCTTCATCCCACACCTCCTCCCCACAAAAACCTTACTATCTGCATCTGACATGATGATATTGGGGCTCTTTCCCCCCAGCTCCAGGGTCACTCTCTTGAGGTTACTGCTCCCTGCAGCAACCTGGACTAGGCGGCCAACCTGTGGGAAAGCAGAAATATAGACAAGCTCTCAGGAGGAGGAAAGAAGAACCAAATACTCTTCTAGACACAGGACAGAGGACCTCACAACATGAGGGAGCAGCTGGATTATAAGAGAGCTGGAGAATTTCACCCAATCTAGCTATTCACTTACCACTGCTGCCCTACCCCTCTGAGCTCCCAGGACGAGAGTGACCATAACCACATGAGCAATATGGCCTCTACATACCAGACACTGTGCCAAGTGCTTCGTGTTCATTTAGTTCAATCAAAGATAGGCACAACTCTTTGCCTTGCTTTAGAACTGTGGGAGCTGCAGCTCAGAGTGGTCAAGTCACTTGCCCAAAGTCACACAGCTGGTGAATGTGGAATCAGAATTCACACGTGGGCAGCGTGAGTCCATCACTAGGTCAAACTACTATCCCGCACCCTTCCCACAGTGTTGTGAGTGTGGTCCCCTAGCCCATGGCACGCTCTGTGGGGGCAAGGATGGGGTGCTCCTCACATCCTTATTCCCAGAGCCTGCACAAAGCCGCCCTGAACCTATTTGAACGAACACATCTGTCTCTGTCAGGAAACCAACCCCTCTGTGAGATTCTCAACATCACCTCAAGGCATTGATTTGGGCAGCAGCAAATCAAGGAAAGAGCTGGGACCGTGCTATCTTGGGCTCTGTTCCTGCCCTCCTGGAGCTGCCATCACGGCGCACAGACTAGACGCTAGACGGTATCTATCTCCGGGGGCACGGCTTGAAGAGCACATTCGTTACAGTAGTCAGTGTGCTTTCTCTGGGGCCATGTGAGGAAGCCTCCCAACAACTGAAGGAGAGGAAAAGGTTACTCTTCAGAAGGAATTCTGTCCCTGCTTCGAAGGAGATGATGTTGAAGGAATCACCAGACATCTTACTTGTCCTTGTTCCTCCAGGGCCTGGCACAGAACAGGATACTCCTCACTCATCATTCATTCCCTCCCTGAGCACTTACTCTGAGCTAGACCTTTGCTGATCCCCCTCACTCATTCTGTGAGGTGGGTGCACTTATCCCCGTTTTACAAATGAGACAGAGGCTTCGGGAACCTAAGTGACTTGCCCAGGATCGCAGACCTAGTAAGTGCCACTGAAACAGTAAGACTCCAGAGCACCTGATCTTCCCCACTACACCATGCCTACTGTCTCTACTGCCTCCATATGGCCATCCTCATTTTAAAGACAACAAATGGAGCCCCGAAGATATTCGGTGAATCACCCATGTCATTATAGCGAGGCTGGGATTTGAACTCATGTCTTTCTGAAGCCCATGCTCTATAACTGTCAGGGCACTGCTGGTCAAGGAATCTGACACAGCCAAAGGGCTTTGACTCTGGGCAGGCGGTCAGCTCTAGACTTTTTTTTTTTTAAGATTTTATTTATTTATTTTACAGAGAGAGTGACAGAGCACAAGCAGGGGAGCAGTAGAAGGATAGGGAGAAGCAGGCTCCCCCCCAAGCAAGGAGCCCGATGTGGGGCTCGACCCCAGGACCCTGGGATCATGACCTGAGCCGAAGGCAGGTGCTTAACTGTCTGAGCCACCCAGGCGCCCTAGGTCTGGGCTTCTTGAGGTCTAGACGGTCTGGGCCTCTTTCTTCCACGTGGGATGGTGGCCCCACAACAGCAGCCAGAGTGTCAAGCAACCCACAGAGGGCTCCACCCGGCAGCTACTGCAGGCACACGCGGGGCCCCTCACTCAAGCTCCTCAGAGGACCCTCCACACAGTACCCCGAGGTGAATCTTCAAAGCGTCATCCTTTGAGGACAGTGGGAACTTGGGCCAAATGTGCCACAAGCTTGAGGTCCTGGTGATGCCTTACCTCGGTAGAGCCTGTGAAGGCCACTTTGTCCACATCCTCATGGGAGGTGATGGCGGCCCCAGCTGTGGGGCCAAATCCAGGAATAATATTGACCACGCCAGGGGGAAAGCCGGCCTGTGGGCAAACAGCCAGGGACACTGGGCGTCATTCTCCTGTTCCAAAGGGCTTGGACAGAAGAACATACACCCCCCGGAGAGGCTAAAGCAGCCTGCCCGGTACCCAGACAAGCTGACACCAGTGTGTGAGGCACTGCTCAGGAATTCCAAATGGCACAGCAGAGAACCTACTTTTCGGGGTTCCCTGGGGCTGTTGTCCCTCCCCAGTGGCACTCTTCAAAGGGGTCTGGCAGTGAAGCTCAGTGTAGAAAACAGGTAAGGGGGGTCATTTTGGCTGGCCTGTGATGAGGTACGGGGGGTACAGGGGAGGTTCAGTCCCTGCTCTACAAACACCTGCCCCACTTTGGGGCCCCCGAAGCCCCTCCTAAGAACCCCCAAGGAGCCAGCCTGTACAAGGGCATTCAGAGGTCAAGACTGACACAAACCACACACCTCTTTAATCAGGTTGGCCACATAGAGGGCAGTCAGTGGAGTCTGCTCAGCTACCTTCATCACAACCACATTTCCGGTCGCCAGGGCTGGGCCGAGTTTCCAGGCTTGCATCAGGAGTGGGAAGTTCCACTGCGATAAACAAGAGCTGCTTCTGGAATCAAGCTGGAGCTGCACTGGCTCCAGGGAGGAGGGGGCGGCCCGGGGAGGAGAAGGGGGCACCCAGGGGGTGGCCCGGGGAGGAGGGGGCGGCCTGGGGAAGGGGGCTGCACTGACTTCTCCGAGCCCCTTGTGCTACTCCCACAACTCTGCTATGAGTTGAAGATGGATGGACATGGCAGGTGGATGGGAGCAGGAGCGACTCAGGCTCCTTAGAGCTTTAACCATACTAGGCTCTGTGCTATGTTGTTGCCTTGTATTACCCCTCCTGCCCTAAGACAGTGTTGTGTTCCCTTCTGCTTTTCAAATAAGGAAACCGAGTCTTATGGGTATCAGTGATTTGCCCAAAGTCAGAGTCCACGCATGGCAGCACTGGTTGGCTTTGTTAAAGCCTGTGTTCTCACCCACCACCCAGGCCGCCTTCCAACAACAGCCCGCAGACCCTCCCACCTGTGCAATCCGCCTGTCCCAGATCGCTGCATCTCAAGGCACTCCTAATAAGCCTTCATCTGTTTATTAGGAGCCTACCACTCACCGGAATGATCTGCCCGCACACCCCGACGGGTTCATGGCGGGTATAGCTGAAGAAGTCCCCATCAATGGGAATAGTTTTCCCATGGTACTTATCAGCCCAGCCAGCGTAATAACTTAAAAAAAAAAAAAAAAATCCAAGCTTAATCAATGACTGTCAGGGACCCCTGTACACCCTGGCAGAAAGAAAAGGCTCAAACAGGCCCCTTGTAAGGCCCAAACAAGCCCAATTGCCCTTGCCCTTGGCTTAGCCCCAGAAAGACTTCCTAGGGTCACAGTTCCACTCTGGACAACTAAACTCTAAGCCTCAGAATCACCTGGGATGCTTGTAAATAATAACACCACATTTCAGGAGCCCACTTCCAACTTACTCAATCTGGAGCTCCGAGGCTGATCCCCAGGAATTGGTATTTTTCATAAACATTCAGATTTATTAAATTGTGACTGTTGAAGTAGCCAGCACCACAGATTAGCATCTGAGAACCATGGGTCGGATCTGGTGAGGAAGTGGAAACCTCTCTAACGGCCAGCACTTCCTGTATGCAGACCCCAAAGTACGACTGAGGGAACAGTCACCAGAAACAAATCCTCAACTGGCCCAACCCCTCGTAAAGCCTCCCATCTAGACACACAGGGACCCAGGGGACAGAAAAGCCCAGCACCTTAGAGCGGGGGAGAAAAGAGCATTGTGGGTTTCCAGCCCGTAATGGTGACATTTTCAGAGAAGCAGGAAAAATGAGAGAAGGGGAAATATGGAAACGTGGGGTAAAAGGAAGAGTTCTGAAATGAGTGGGATGGCAACGCGAGTCTGGGCCCCACGCTGACCTGGCTTCGAACACGGGTCTGTGAACAGCCAGGGAGTTGCCAATCTCTACAAGGAAAGGCAGCGCCGCTCCCTTCCTCCCAGGCTGTATGACGTATGTTTTGCAGGCCCCACAATGGTTACCTAATCAGCATAACGGCATATTCCTAAAACTCAGGAGGGCATAAGACTTAGCCTGAGCTTCCCCAGGCTGCTCTTTCTGGGTCACCCTCACAGCGCGTTCTAACCTTGGTACTATGGTCATATGGGGCTGGAAAATTCTTTGCTGGGCGGGCCATGCTGTGCACTGCAGGCTTTTTAGCAGCCTCTCTGGCCTCTGTGCACTAGATACCAGTAGCACCCTTCCCTCACCCCCTTCTGTGACAGCCACAAGTATCTCCGTTATCCATTGCCAGCTGTCACCTGGGAGACGTGACTGACTACCCTGGTTGAGAACCCTTTCTGTTGTCCAACCACTACTTTTCTGGCACGGCTTCTTCCCCTCCACCTCTGTCCACAGGGTCAAGGGGAGTACTTGTTATTTGCACAATGATCCGTCCACCCAGACCACAGCTGGTCAGACTTGAGGCCAGCCAATCAGGGTGGCATCTGGCCCCTGAATCTGGCATGAAGACTTTGGCATTTGGCACTAGGATAAGGGACTGCAGTGTAGTCAGTAGGATCCCGCATATAGGAGCCAGCCCAGGTGTGGGCAGCCAGGTTCCAGCACACACACTGGCCCTGACAGCGGCTAGGGGGTAACTGAGAGAAGAATGAAGCAAGGGGGCTAAGATGGGCCACGGTGAGGCTCAGCGGCCTTCTAGATTTAAGACCCCCAACTCTGCAGTGCCCAAGTCAGACTGAGGCTTTGTTACTGCAACCCCAAAGACCCTAACAAAGCTCTTATTCCTCATCCTGTATTTCTTGGGCATTAAGATGTTTGATTAGGGGCACCCGGGTGGCTCAGTCGTTAAGCGTCTGCCTTCGGCTCAGGTCACGATCCCAGGGTCCTGGGATTGAGCCCCACATCGGGCTCCCTGCTCGGCAGGAGGCCTGCTTCTCCCTCTCCCACTCCTCCTGCTTGTGTTCCCTCTCTCAGTGTGTTTCTTTCTGTCAGGTAAATAAATAAAATCTTTAAAAAAAAAAAAAAAGATGTTTGATTAAACTAATCCCAAAGCCAGCAAGAAGGAAATGATAAAGACTAGAGCAGAGATAGGAAAACAATAGAGGAAATCAACAAAACCAAAAGTGGGTTCTTTGAAAACTCACCAGACTGACAAACCTTTCACTAGACTAAGAAAAAAAGGCAGAAGAGACAACTGAAAACCAAAATGAAAGCAGGGACATTACCACCGACCTTAGAGAGAGAAAAAAGCTTATAAAGAGCATATATGAACAACTGTAGCCAGCAAATGAGATAACATACATGAAATGGACAAATTCCATCTAACATAGAAATTACCAAAACTGCCTTGAGAAGAAAGAAAAATGCTTATGATTAAGTTACAACTTTGATATTGAGGGATTTTCTCCTAACATGATTCTACAACTCCTGTGATCCTGTTAAATTATTCTATTTCTGGGCTCAGTTGTTAAGCGTCTGCCCTCGGCTCAGGTCATGGTCCCAGGGTCCTGGGATCGAGCCCCACATCGGGCTCCCTGTTTCACGGGAAACCTGCTTCTCCCTCTCCCACTCCCCCTGCTTGTGTTCCCTCTATCGCTGTGTCTCTTCTCTGTTTAATAAATAAAATCTTTAAAAAAAAAATTACTCTATTTCTGGCCCTACAACACCTGCTCCCCTGGGGGACGGCCAGAACAAAGAGCCGGAAGCCTGAGCCCATACCGGAAGCATTTGAGAACCATGTCCAGATCCACCAGGTAGGAGATGACATAGGGCTTGCCGTTATCCAGGGTCTCCAAGGCCTGAAAAAAGAGAACAGTCAGCACAGACATGCAGGCACAGGATTGAATCAAAGCAATCGGTGACGACCAACGCTGAAGCTCAGCACAGACCAAGAAGGGCTGATGGGCTACTTTGTGCCACTGAATGCCATGGCATTTCTGGCCCATCGCCCCTCCCTCTCCCAAGACAGGAGAGCGAGGGGTGGGGAGAGGAACGGTGCACCAACTTCACGTGCATGTGTTTTCCAGGTTCTGCTCTAAGCCAAATCCAGGGGCTGGGGGTAAGAGACAAACATGGGGGCTGAGAGAGCAAAGCGCCAGTGACTAATGACATGAAGCCTCAATCACGAGTGTTAAGAATGCTAGAAAGGAGGGCGCCTGGGTGGCTCAGTTGGTTAAGCAACTGCCTTCGGCTCAGGTCACGATCCCAGGGTCCTGGGATCGAGTCCCACATCGGGCTCCCTGCTCAGCGGGGAGCCTGCTTCTCCCTCTGCCTCTCTCTCTCTCTGTCTCTTATGAATAAAGGAATAAAATCTTAAAAAAAAAAAAAAAGAATGCTAGAAAGGAGAAGCCAGGCTGCCCAGCCCAGTCTGAGAAACACCCTCTAGCCTAAACCTGAAGGATATGTAGGAGGTAACTAGGCAAGGGGGAAGGTACAAATGATGACAAAATGAAAAGCACCCCAGAGAGAACAGCATGTGCAAAGGCCCTGATGGCTCAAAGAAGCCAGGCAGTCAAGACGCTGAGGGAAGGCTGGTGAGCTGAGCAGTGTGTGTGAGGGTCATGGTCCAGCATTAGTTGGGAGACGGAGTCAGACCAGGCAGGGCCTTGTAGACCATGATGAGAGAACAGGACTTTATCCTAAGGATATACAGGATGCCATAGAAGGCTTCAGAGTGGAGCACCATGGTATAATTTGCCTTCTAGAAGGTTCACTCTGGCTGCTATTTGCAGATTGGACTGGGGAGAGGAGAGGGTATTGGCTCTTGGTTTCTTCTGCCTCTGGCAGCCAGAGAGAAGGCCCACCACACAGAGGGGCTCCAAGGGAGGTGTCCATCCCTGGAGGTCTCGGGGAAGGCTCCCCATTGTGTCTCCCCTTTCCACCCCATCTCCTCCTTTCTTAGCCATCATAGGGGACAATGAGAGGCTCCTCTGGTTGGTACAGGGGCATACCCCCAAAATGTCCAGCCTATGCCATTCTGACCAGTTACAGGTCAGCAATGCAGCCCCCTTTCCTGGATGGCTGTGGGATGCTCTGAGCCTATTCACCACATGGGATGAGAGGGGAGGGGGCTGAGAACTCACTGCTAGGTAGGTCCGGTCCCGCTCAATCAGATCAGCCAGGCGGTTCAGCAGGCGGCCTCTGTCGGATGCGTCCATGCGGCGCCAGGGTGAGCCCAGCTGGAAGGCGGCCCGGGCAGCCTTTACTGCCCTGTCCACGTCTTCCTGGAAAACACCCACCAAGGCAGCTCAGGCCTTCTCAGCACTAACTGCCTCCAGTTACCACCCAGCCTGCTGCCAAACACCCCCATGGGACTTCAGTCAATGCCTGTGTGGAAACTCGCCCCGAACAGCCCTTCCCTACCGCGAAGGCCCTGCCTGTGGAGCTTCAGATTCTCCTTGCCCTCCTTTCACGGAGGGAGTGAGGATCCTGACCGTTAACGTTTCTGTATTTTCATTTTGGAATCCCCCAAAGAGTTTTGGAGGGAAACATTCAGGGCTCTGTGCTTAGAATTTGACTATTTCCCCCCTCTTCTTAAGAAAGCAAGCCCAGAGAACTTAAGCATTCCTTCTAAGATGACTGGCAGTCTGCACCTAATATAGGTTTAACCAGCTTCCCTCTCCTTGGAGAAGCAGTAAAATCAACACAGCTAGCAGTTTTCATACAGCGAGAGGTGTAGCAGGAGGCTGGAAGCATGGTTTTCATTAATATTAAACATATTTACCGGGGTGCCTGGGTAGCTCAGTCGTTAAGCGTCTGCCTTCAGCTCAGGTCATGATCCCAGGGTCCTGGGATCGAGCCCCGCATCAGGCTCCCTGCTCTGCAGGAGGCCTGCTTCTCCCTCTCCCACTCCCCCTGCTTGTGTTCCTGCTCTCACTGTCTCTCTCTCTCTCTGTCAAATAAATAAAATCTTAAAAAAACACAAAACATATTTATATCAGACTACCCTATAAGCCAGGAAAGTACTATATTCACATTTGCTTTTAGCAGAGGGAGCAGGGCTTTATACATGAATATAGAAAACTGTTAAAGCAGAGGGCAAGAGGCATTCTTAAAATATTTTCAGTGCCTTCACTTTTTTTTAAGATTTATTTATTTTTTTAAAGATTTTATTTATTTATTTGACAGAGAGAGACACAGCGAGGGAGGGAACACAAGCAGGGGGAGTGGAGGAGGGAGAAGCAGGCTTCCCGCCAAGCAGGGAGTCTGATGCGGGGCTCGATCCCAGGAACCCAGGATCATGACCTGAGCTGAAGGCAGACGCTTAACGACTGAGCCATCGAGGCACCCCTCTTTTTTTAAGATTTATTTATTTATTTTAGAGAGAGAGTGAGCATGAGTGGGGGAGGGGTAGAGGGAGAAAGAGAGAATCCCCCACTGAGTGCGGGAGCCCGATGTGGTGCTCAGTCAGTCTCACAACCCTGAGATCATGACCTGAGCCGAAATCAAGAGTCAGACGCTCAACCAACTGAGCCATCCAGGCACCTCTCAAGGCCTTTTCTTTAAAAAAAAAAAAAAAAAGAGAGAGAGAGAGAAGATAGTAGGAAGGGAAAATGAAGGGGGGTAATCAGAGGGGGAAATGAACCATGAGAGACTATGGACTCTGAGAAACAAACTGAGGGTTCTAGAGGGGAGGGGGGTGGGGGGATGGGTTAGCATGGTGATGGGTATTAAAGAGGGCATTTATTGAATGGAGCACTGGGTGTTATATGCAAACAATGAATCATGGAACACTACATCAAAAACGAATGATGTGGGCGCCTGGGTGGCTCAGTTGGTTAAGCGACTGCCTTCGGCTCAGGTCATGATCCTGGAGTCCCTGGATCCAGTCCCGCATCGGGCTCCCTGCTCGGCAGGGAGTCTGCTTCTCCCTCTGACCCTCCCCCCTCTCATGTGCTCTCTCTCTCATTCTCTCTCTCAAATAAATAAATAAAATCTTAAAAAAAAACAAAAACAAAAACGAATGATGTGATGTATGGTGATTAACAATAAAATAAAATTTTAAAAAATAAAAAATAAAAAATAAAAAATAAAATAAATGCTCCATAATTTGAAAACAAATTTTTTTTACTAAAAGTCTAATTTTTAAGTTGTAAAATTATTATAACTATTTTTTATTGCAAGTAGGTATAATTCCAACATAATGTAAATACACCACCAACACCAGACTAGATCTCAGAAGACCCAAATTCTAGTCCACAAAATTCCTCCATCTAGATGTGTACCTCCCTTCTCTGACCTTCAACTTTTAGGTCTAGAAAAGAGAGATTGGATTAGATGTTCCCAAATTTAGTTCCAAGTCTACAATTCTACCACTGTGTGAATTATTGAACCCGGGTATAATCTAGCACCTTTGTTGGAAGGAAGAGTTTCTGTTGATTCATTTACTCAAAAGATGTTCATTGGCATTTTTGAGTTATGAAAATAATACACACCTGGTAAAGTTTCAACCACATAAAAATATATAAAGTACACAATGAAACCACCCTTGCCTGCTCCCGCCCCGAGGTAGGTCACCAGTTCTCACCTTGTCTCCTTCAGCTATCTGACAGATAACTTCTCCGGTGGATGGATTGATGGTGGGGAATGTTTTCTTGCTGACAGCATCGTGCCACTCATTGTTGATGAAGATCTATGAGAAGGAAGAAAGTTCTCAGGACCGGCTCTCAACCCTACACTGACAACCAGCGATGTGGGAGAAAGAAAATCAGAACACATATGAATTAGCCTCAGAGTGATGTGGTGTGAAGTTTCAAGCCCCAGACCTGGAGACAACCAGGTTGGAATGCCCCCTCTGCCAAGCGACCTCGGGTAAGTCATTTGCCCTTCGTTTCTTTGATCTGAGAAATGAAGAGAATGTGTCTACCATATCAGTTGTCCATACTGTTGTGCAACATGTCAAAATTTGGTGGCTTAAATGATCCGTCATCCTCTCACAATCGTGTCCACTAATGAGGCTCAGCTGCACAGGGCTTGGCTGGGCTGGCTCATGGGATTGCAGAGCAAGGGTGCACGGGGCTGGATGTGCACGAGGGGTTCTGCATCACATATATGTCTGCTTGGGTCTCCTGATTATATGGCAGACTCAGGCTCGTCAGCCTTCTCCAATGACAGCTGGCTTCCCCAGACAGTGTGCCGAGAGACCCACGCAGAAGCTGAGAGGCTTCCTAAGATCCAGCTTCTGAAGTCACACGGCCTCATTTCCGCCACCAAGCTTCACTGGTCGATGTGAGTCACAGGCCCAGTCCAGATCTCGGGGAGGGGAGAGAGCCTCCACTACTCCTTGGGAGGAGCAGCAAAGAATTTGCAACCATCTCTCCTCTAGCACAGTGTTGTTGTGAGAACGGGGTCAGATTATTCTTTGACCATTCAGTAAACATGTAGTGAACACCTGTGATGGGCCAGGCACTGTTCTAAGGCTGAGGACACAGTGGCAACCCAACCCAATAAAGACCTTTCTCACTCATGGAGCTGGTGTTCAGGTGTAGAGAAGCAGGTAGAGAAGCAATACACAAGGCAACCTCAGATTGCAGTGGTAGGTACAAAGGAGGAAAATAGGACCCACAAAGAGTACTAAAGTGGGGGAAGACAGAGAACTTTAGATGGGATGGTCAGGAGGGTCTCTCTGATAAGCAGATATTTCACTCGAGCCCTGATGATGAAAAGGAGCCAGCCACAGGAAGAGTAGGAGGATAAGCACTCCAGGCAGCAGGAAGAGCAAGTGCAAAGGCCCTGGGGTAGGAATAAGCCTGGTGCATTTGAGAAAAAACAAAAGTGACCAGAGTTAACTGGCAAACCAAGAAGGAAGTGCTAGGACATGGAATCAGAGAGCAGGGTAGGTCCCGTGAAGAAGCCCTCAGTTCAGCGCCTGGCAGCAATCATTGCTAATGTTGTTGTGAGGATTAACTGCAACCACGTCTGGAGAGAGACTGTTCGCTGGTTTAATGAGGCCAATGTCAGGGGAGGATGGAACCCTCTTCATTCACTCAGAGAAAAGGCCCTTATCTAAAGCCGCTTCATCAAGTGCCAAAATTCACTCTCTGCTTCTAAGAGCCAGGCAATGGCCTCAAGGGAGACCAGGGAAAACTCTCCCAGCAAGCTGTTCCCCTTCCGGATGGGGAAGCTGGTCTGAGGGTCGGGGACACTTGGTCACTTCGCCAGGGCTGAGCAAAGGTCACAGTCAGGGTGAACGTCAGTTCAAGGCCACTCTGCCTTCCTTCCTCAAGGGCTCTCCTTGGCCCCAGCATCCCAACATGGCCTGGCTCTGGCTCAGGACCCTGGGGGTCATCTCCAGTTACTCTGGGCCAGAGTCTAGAACCACAAACAAGACCAAGCCACCAAGCAAAGTCGGGAGTTTGGCCAGGGCCAAAGATGAATGCAGGGCTCCTGTGATCCTAGTTGTGTCACATGGGGCACGGCACTTCACCTCACTCTGTAGTGAGAACCACCGCAGTACCCGGACGGCACGTGAGGGCTCCAGGTGTGCTCTGGGCTTCGGGGGAAGTAAGTGTGCCATGCTGTGGCGGTGCCCGTGGGGCCAGGTGGCACAGGAAGGAGCTGGTTAGGAAGGGGTCTACCAGGGGTCACTTTCCCAGCCTCAAATCCGGTATAAGCATTTCCCACACGGGCCCTTTTAGGATGGATTTCACTATTCCTGTTGGCAGTGCTGCAGCAAACAGCCTAGGCTGCGCATCTCTGCGAACCTGGGACAGATGACCGTATAAATACCAGACAACTGCTGAGTTAGAGGGTAACGTGATCCTTGGGCTGCCTCCAGAAACCTGGGTGGTGTGGTGGGTGCCTAGAAGCTGCGGACCCCAGGGAGGAGGCCTAACCAAGGCGAGGACAGAGTGACATTCCAGTGCCACCCCCACACCAAGGCACTGGACAGTCATCATCTGTGCAAGGTCTCCAAAAACAGGTTCAGTGGTGTTCAGTAGCTCCAATTTGGCAGACAGGATGCACTCTAGAAAGATTTTGATTCAAGCTTTGATGCATGATAGAATTGGGGATTTGTGGGGCCCTGGGTAGCTCAGTCATTAAGCCTCTGCCTTAGGCTCAGTCATGATCCCCGGGCCCTGGGATCGAGCCCCACCTTCCCATCTTCGGACTCTCTGCTCAGCGGAGAGCCTGCTTCACCCTCATTCTCTGCTCCTCCCGCCTGCTCGTGTTCTGTCTCTCTCATGCTCTCTCCCTCTCAAATAAATAAATAAAATCTTTGAAAAAAAGTGGGGGGGGCGGGGCGCCTGGGTGGCTCAGTCGTTAAGCGTCTGCCTTCGGCTCAGGTCATGATCTCAGGGTCCTGGGATGGAGTCCCTCATCAGGCTCCCTAAACCTCAGGGTTAGTTCAGTAATAAGGCCAAAGGGAGCCACCTCCCCCAGGCTTGCTGGAGACATTCTGGCACCTGACCAGAGCCCTTGCCTCCTCTCCTCAGCACCCAGGGCCTTTCACTCTGCATTCCTGGATTTTTCACCACATTCACCATGGGAAGTTGGGTTCTACTGTGGACTGTTTGCCTGGCAGTCATGCTTTCAATTTGTTTATGTTCTCTGGGCTTATCATTTGGCAACCTCTACCTTGCTGCAGTCACTTCCCTTGGATAATTTTAGCCCTCCCTGCATGTCTTCACATTCTTATTCATGTTAACTCCCAAATTCTTTGAAAAAGCCCCTTCTGAGTGGAAATACTGTGTTCCCATTCCTTGCTACTGGAACACAAAATTATAAACATGGTTTCATAAATGGCAACGATTCATGCCTTCAATAAATATTTACTGAGCAGCAATCATATTTCTGATCTCCGTGCTAGGGCTGGGAATACACATGTGAACAGAAACACAGCTCCTCTGGGGCGCCTGGGTGGCTCAGTCGGTTAAGTGTCTGCCTTCGGCTCAGGTCATGATCCCGGGGTCCTGGGATCGAGCCCCGCATCGGGCTCCCTGCTCAGCGGGGAGTCTGCTTCTCCCTCTCCCTCTGCTGCTCCCCCTACCCGTGCTCTTTCTCTCTCTCTCAGATAAATAAAATCTTAAAAAAAAAAAAAAAAAGAAAGAAACACAGCTCCTCCCTTCTGATTTCAAATGTTTAAGTTCAGTAGTCCCCTAAATATTTACATCCTTCAGGCGCCTGGGTGGTTCAGTCGGTTGAGCATCCGACTCTTCGGCTCAGGTCATGATCTCAGGGTTGTGAGATGGAGCCCCACGTTGGGTTCCACACTCAGTGGGGAGTCTGTTTGGAGATTCTCTCTGCCCCTCCCACCTCTCTCTCTCTCAAGTAAATAATCTTTTTTAAAAAGATTTTTATTTATTAATTTTTTTTTAAGATTTTATTTATTTATTTGAGAGAGAGAGAATGAGAGAGAACACATGAGAGGGGATAGGGTCAGAGGGCAAAGCAGACTCCCCGCCGAGCAGGGAGCCCGATGCGGGACTCGATCCAGGGACTCCAGGATCATGACCTGAGCCGAAGGCAGTCGCTTAACCAGCTGAGCCACCCAGGCGCCCCTTATTTATTAATTTGTCAGAGAGAGAACAGGCACACAAACAGGGGGAGCGGCAGGCAGGGGGAGAGGGAGAAGCAGGCTCCCCACTGAGCAGGGAGACCGATGCGGGACTCCATCCCAGGACCCCAGGATCATGACCTGAGCTGAAGGCACATGCTTAACTGACTGAGCCACCCGACGGTCCCAATAAATACATCTTAAAAAAATAAAAAAACTGACATCCTCTTTTGACCATAGGTCCTGGTCATGAGGTAGCACAGAATGTGGCTAAGGGCACACACATCAGAGTTGAACCCTGGTTTCATACTTGCTACTTAATGTGACCTCCCTGAGCCTCAGTTCCCCTCATCTGTAACAGCTACAATACCTGCTTCATACAGTTGTTGGGAGGGATAAAAGGGAAAATGTAGTTATACATCCTCAGCACAGGGCCTGCCAGTTCCTAAGTGATCAGTAATCACAATTATTCGATCAGGGGACCTGTACGCATGTCCACAGCACACACATCTGTCCTTTCCACCTGATCTCAACACCACAAACCTTCTTTTTTTTTTTTTTTTTTTAATATTTTGTTTATTTATTTGACAGAGAGAGACACAGCGAGAGAGGGAACACAAGCAGGGGGAGGGGGAGAGGGAGAAGCAGGTTTCCTGCAGAGCAGGGAGCCCGATGCGGGGCTTGATCCCAGGACCCTGGGATCATGACCTGAGCTGAAGGCAGACGCTTAATGACTGAGCCACCCAGGTGCCCCACCACAAACCTTCTTAGAGCCCAGTCACCTGTAACTCTGTGTGTTTCCAGAGATACAGATTCTGGGGAGGCAGGAGGTAATGAAAGGCATTTGTGTTCATTTATAATATAATATATTGTTAGAAGTAGAGGTACCAAGGGGAGTCTGGTGAAATCCTCTGATTCTCTGGGTTACCTGAATCTATTATTTCTACAGAGGATCCTAAAACTCTTTCACAAGCAATAAAACCAGTATGGTCAGTATGGGGATATTTCACGTGACTCATTCAGCCCAAAGCCACTTCAAACCACTGCTTAATCCAACATAAGTTTTGGCTCATTATGTAAGAATCTCCCAAGGAAAACCAAATTTCTCTTCTGTATATACTACCTGTTAGCAGTGATTATCTGCAGGTGTGGGATTATCAGAGGCCTGTCACTTTCTTTTTTCTTTTTAAATTTGCTTACAGGTTACTTAGCTTTAATGAAATAAAACATTTAAATAAAGTTCCCTTTAATTACTACCTGCAAACAGATTCTCTATGCAGCACCCCCCTCCCCAAGGCACTCAGCACCCTCACACCAATGCGCATATTCCTTCCAGTACACTTGTATACATTTTATATAGAGATAGGTCTACTCACATTCAGTGTAAGAGTTTGTTTGCGTAGTTTAATTAGTTTCATATCTGCAGAATGCCAGACCCTTTCCTACCTTGACACATTGTTTTTGAGACCCATTATTCATATAGCTCCAGCTAGTGCCTGTAACTACTGCATGCACTGAATTATTCCTTCCTATAACCTCAGTACACGTTGTTCTTCAATTTCCCCATGGATGGCAAGGTGGCTTCCTAGGTTTTTGCTAATGTAAACTACGGGGCAATGAACATCTGTGCATGCCGATATATATTTCCAGTGCGTTCAACCTCACAGACTTCTGTAATGCTTGACTTTTGGTACTGAGGACGTATTAATATTGTAACCAGAAAATTCTATACAGGGAGATCCTTTCTTAATTTCCTTTTTGTCAGTTCTCTCTTTAGTTCCTGAGTGCTGTGGTCAAGAAGCTAAGAATAGAGACACGCATTGAATTCACCACCCCAAACTCCCATTCAACTTTACCAGAACCTAGCTCACCCCTTCAGGAAACAAATTACAACTACAACAGCACCCACATAATGGAGTTACATCACCATTATCTTGTAAGCTCAACAGGATCACTGTTACCCCAGCTTTTACTTAAGGCTGTGTGAACATGGACACCCCCCACAGCCATGAGCCAGACACTTTCTAAGGGCGGTATAAGGATGAACTCACTCCAGCCTCACAGCAACCCTAGGATGTAGATGGGATTTTTACCCCATTTTACAGATGTGGTAGCTGAGGTACAGAGTTAAATAATTATACCACCCTCCGTATCCCCCTCTTCCCTGCCTTGTTCTTCTCCATAGTGCTGATTGCCTTGGCCATACTATGCATTTCACTTACTTGTCTGTCTCTACTATCCAGGCCACAAACTTCCCACAGGCAGGGATTCCTGTCTGTTTTGTTCATTGGAACTGGGAGTACTCAGGAAATGTCTGTTGAATGAATGAACCTGCCCAAGTCAACGCCAATGAGCGGCAGGCAGTCTGAGTCCAGAGTGCAACGTGGTCTCTAACAATATTCTGGTGTTCATTATTATTATCAACCAACGTGGGAGTCAGGAAGATGGTACAGTGGGAGGATCCTGAGCTCACCTTGTCCTACAGACATACCAAGATAACAGCTACATCTGTGCAATGAACTCTGAAAACGACCTGAAGACTGGTAGAACAGACCTTCCACAGTTCATCATGGACAGGAGGCCACACTGAAAAGAGTAGGAAGGTCAAAGACACAGTTGGGAACCAAACCCCTGGCAAGACTAACCACAAAGGGGAGGGACACCACAAGTGTGGAGAAGCAAATGCAAGAGATCAGACCCAACACTAGGCACACCAGGCACTGGGGACTCACATTGGGAAGACAAGTCCCCATAATACCTGGCTTTGAAAACCAGTAGGGCTTAACTTCAGGAGCTTTTAAAATCAGCAGGGCTTGGGGCGCCTGGGTGGCTCAGTCGTTAAGCATTTGCCCTCGGCTCGGGTCATGATGCCGGGGCCCTGGGATCGAGGCCCGCATCACGCTCCCTGCTCAGCGGGAAGCCTGCTTCTCTCTCTCCCACTGCCCCTGCTTCTTGTGTTTCCTCTCTCTCTGTCAAATGAATAAATAAAATCTTTAAAACATAAAATAAAATAAAATCTGCAAAGCTTAACTTGGGGTATTATCAACCAACATGAATTGGTGATGCTGCAGATGAAAGCATTAGTCACATTCATCCAGAGAGGTTACTTTGCTGAAGCCACAGTCCCTTGGGTTTTCCTTTGGGTTGTCTTTCTAGATCTTAATTACTCTCCAAGTCAGGAAAGAAAAACAGAATGAAAAATGAAAATCAGTTTGTTGACAGAGATGTGGCCCTGAAATCGCCAAGGATAAGAAATGTTGATCTTCAAGAAGCTTGGCCATCATCAGCTCCCCCTACAGGTCCCTGCTTTTGAGTGGGGGGAGAAGAACATGTCCTAAAATCTTCCTAACCCATCCAATAAGTTTACCCCACCCTGCGGCCTCACCCAAGACAAGTAGAGGCAAGAGGACCCCAGGAAGGTGGACCAAACCAGCCCCCTCAACCTCTTTTGGATTGAGAAGAAGGTAGGAAGGAGAAGACCTGTTGCCTGCACCCCTCCCACCCATCCAGGTGAGACCCAACAAGTCTGAAGTGTGACGTTCCCCAAAAGCCCACACACACCGGCAAATGCCCTTGGCAAGAAAACCTAGCCTGCAGAAGCAACTTCAAAGCCTATTGGAAGAGCTCCTTTTTGGGAAGCTCAACTCCAGAATGTTCATTGAACTTCAAGGACCCAGTAACACCCCAGGAAATGTCCAGGAATATGATCTAGTTTGTTCCTAGAGCCCTTGGCTCCTAGAGACTCAAAATACTCAGATTAGGCTTTGGCATGCTTGCCAGCAGGATTAACAACAAAGCAACACTGAAAACAGCCCAAGGAACTTTAAGAAGTGTCAGTTCCAACATGGTGCGATGCATTGCAACCTTGGGAAGAATAAAAAAGATATGAATGTACTGACTGAGAAAGGTAACTCACATACATTGTTCAATGAGACAGTGTTTCAAACAGTAAGTGCTAGTATCGCATTTATGCAAAAAAAAAAATCTGGTGCATGCTTGTGTGCACGCGCGCGCGCGCACGCACACACACACACACAGAAAATGCAAGATTACGGACCTCCCTGTTAACAGTGCTCTTGGAGGTAGTGCAATGGGGGATGGGGGGCAGTTTTACAGTACTCTGTATTTTTACAGTGAGCAACTGTTACTTTTATGATCTCAAAAAATGTGATAAAGAAGCTGCAGGGACACTGCACTCCTCTCCAGCTCACATCCCCAGACTAAGTCTGGAGAGCAGGACTCACGCTATCTACAAGACACTTAACGTTTGGATGCCATTTCCTCACTTCCATGTGACCACAAAGGAGAAAGATCTTAATTACATCTTGTGTCCACAAAGGCTTGGGGTGCTGACACCTTTCCCTTAAGGATATTTCCATGTGATTCTTCTGATGTTCAAGTCTTCCAAGCATGAACTCATTAAGCAGCCTACCAAAAGAACAACAACTGCTGCATTTGGGGCTTGTGTTACCCAAAGGAAATTTTATATTTTGTTTTTATTCCCTCGCAAATAACCATTTGTAACTCCTTACAATCACACAGATGTGCCTTTACCCACCACCTGTGTGCACCTTTGCAGCCCAGCTCTGGGCCAGACAAGCAGGTCCACTGTTCAAAGTAGTCGGCCAGGGATCAGCTCTATGGCATCCTCAATCAGCAGTGACCCCTCTATTCCAACCCCGAGTTGCATCAATAGTAGCACAGAATGTTCTGATTAGAGGCTTTCTTTTGGGAGTCTAGATGTGAACCCCAACTTTGCTACTGGCTTCAATCTTTGGGCAACTCACGAAACCTCTCTGTAACTCAGGCTGTTCATCTATAATGATGGAGATGATCACAGTGCCCACCTCACTGGGCTGTTTTAAGGATGAAACAACAAAACAGAATGGTGCCAGGTGCACAGAGAATAGCTGTTATTGCTGTAAGTGCTCACCAAATGTACCAGGCCCCGTGCTGACTCACTCACCCACTTCCCACTTTACAGAAGAAGAAATCGGAAGCTCACAGAAGGGCAATTTGTTGCACATACAAAACGAACTCTTTTCACAACGATTTCCTTCTCTGTGAATTCCAGCGCCTTACCCAAACTCAAAGATCAAAAGAGAGACTATTCCAAAGTCCTGCTTGAGCAGGAAATTGGCCTCTGGGAATCGGTGTGATCCTGGAAAGCCCCTCCTTGGTTTGCTGGAAGAAAACCTGGTCCTTGGAGGGCGCGGACACCATTTGCGGATGGCGCCCCGGAGGCGGAAGGTCCCGCACCCTTTCCCCATTCCCAGCAGTGGACGTGGGCGCTCCCGGCCGAGGGGCCTTGGCCTTTTCCTTAGCGAATGGGTGAACTTTTCTTGTTTTTCCTTTTGGACGTCCTTGGACGTGGGCAAGAATGAAGGGATAAGAAATGACTAAGGAAAAGACAGAAAAGGTCCCGCTAAGCCGGACTCGGATGGAAATCTCGTCTGGGTGGGTGATAGTGAAAGCCCTCTGCAGACACTGCGGTGACTAAGAGGCCGAGGGGCGGAGAACGGAACCCCGAGAGCTGGCGCAGGAAAACGGACGGCGGCCGGACGAGAACAAATAAGCGGCCCAAGTCACAGCCGGAGAATGGAACCGGGGTTGTCAGCGGCGGTGAAGGGGCCAAAATGCTCGCGGGAAGAAAGGTAAGGTGTGCGTAAAGCCCAAACGCTGCAAACCTCTCGAGCCCCAGGTGGGTAAACTGGGGCCCAAAGAGACCCAAGGCCTTCCCACCCGGCGGGCTCCTTTTCCCCGAGAGAACAAAGCCCCGGGGCCGGCGGCCTCACCTGGTTGTAGGAGACTTCAGGCTGCTGGTTGGGGGCCGGCACCGCCTGGGTGGCGGCGGCCGACAGGAGCCGGCGGCCCAGGCGGGGCCCGAGGCCAGCGGCGGCGAGCGCAGCGGCGCGCAACATGCTGCGGAGGGCGCGGGCGTGCAGGACCGTGTGTGCCCGGCCGCCGGCTGGCGCTGCTGTGCGGGTCACAGCGACCGCGACCTCTCCCCGCCCCTGGCGCGGCCGCCAATGGGCTGGCGCGGGGCGGGGCGCAGGGGGCGTGCCCGCCACCTCCCCCGGGGTCTCGCGCGGAGCTGCGCGGCGGCGCCCACGGCGGCCCCCGGCCCTGGGCTGCTCCCACTCGGCTCCCCTTTGTGCCCCGCTACCGCCCCCCGCGTGGCGCACCGGGTATACGCAATAACCCGACCTCGCGAATTCTGTGTGTGTGCCTGAACCCTAATGTGCACAGGCCTGACCCGGAGCAACCCTGGCCCTGACTTACGCGGGCTTACACTCTAGTGAGGGAGGCCGACCTTAAACTAAACACGAGGTAATTTCGGAGAGTGGTAAGGAATGTGAAGATACCGAATAGGGTGAGGACACAGTTGGAGCAGAGAGCACTGCTTTTAAATCCTTTGGTCGGAAAGTGACAGGTGAGACCTGAATTGTCTTCGGAAGATCTTACACAGAGTGGTGAGGAGTTCACAGAAGGATGGCTTGCTTGATTTGCATCTTAAACTCACTGGTTTCTCATTCTGTGGCTAATGGACTACAAGAGAGCAGGGGTGGGGGCAAGGATATTGCAAACTGTTTCATTCCGGGAACATCCTGGAGCTGGGCACTGGGGAGACAGGGAGGAATCAGCAGGTTCGTCTAGGAAGAAGGGTGGATACAAGGTCAGCTGTGTGCATTTCAACCAGGTAATATCAGCAAAAGTCTGAGGAGGAGGTGAAGAAACCTGGCAGGAAGATCTGGGCTGTGTTTTGACAGAAGAGGAGCAGAGGAAAGGGGCAGATCTAGGCAGCAAGTGTATGGGTTGTTACTACTGAGGCTCCAGCCACGGGAGCTAAGGCTGAAGAGATTGACCAATGCCGGGTATTAAGTACCAGACAAAGGTGTTCTAAGGTCTGAAGGAGACGCACATGATATGTGAGGTATGTGTGGGGTGTGTGTGTGTGTGTGTGTGTGTTTTGTTTTGCCTTAAAGAGCTAATGTGATAGCAAAAGGATAACAAAATAATTAACAGAGCTGCTATAGCAGATATGCCACCAAATTCCAGTGACTACATACAATAAAGTCCCCGCTCACGTTGTGTCTCACACAGATGTTCCCCTCCAGGCAGGAGCCCCCGGACCCAGGCTCTTTTCCGAGTATGACTCTGAGGTTAATACTTGATTCCCAAAGTCACAGTGGAGCTCAGTGTCATTTCAGACAACCAGAGGAGAAAAGAGCATTAAGGATGGCACAGGGGAAGTTTTTGTGTCTGAGCCTGTTTCATTGGGTCTTCAGTCACTTGGCCGTTCCTCCGTGTAAGGGAGTCTGGAAAATGAGATGTGTGCCCCGAAGAAGGGGCAGTAGGTTTGGAGATCAGGGGCAGAGATAAACTGAAAAGTGAACCTCCCTCTTTTCTAAATGCAGCACTCAGCCCCCACTTCCCCTTCCCCAAGACATCTTGCTTTGTTCACTTAATAATGTGTCTGGGAGATGGTTCTGCACCAGCACACAATAAAAGTGTCCCATTCTCTTTAACTGTTACATAGAATTCCATTGGATTCATGTACCATTTTTATTTAATGAATTTCCTGTGGATGGGCTTTTAGGTTGTGTCCAACCTTTTGCCATTATAAACAGTGTCCAACCTTTTGCCATTATAAACAGTCTATATCCTTGACTTGGGAAACTCATAGAAACAGCTGCTTAATCAAAGGATACTTACAACATTAATTATACGTTGGCTCTTGAACAATATGGGTTTGAACTGTGCAGGTCTACTTCCTTGCAAATTGTTTACAGGACTGTAAATATATTTTCTTTTCCTTATTTTCTTAACATTTTTATTACTCCAGCCTACTTTATTGTACGAACGCAGTACATAATACATATATTACACAAAATGTGTGTTAATTGACTGTTTATGCATGCAATCAATAAGTCTTCTGGTTGGGGCACCTGGGTGGCTCAGTTGGTTAAGCGACTGCCTTCGGCTCAGGTCATGATCCTGGAGTCCCAGGATCGAGTCCCGCATCGGGCTCCCTGCTTGGCAGGGAGTCTGCTTCTCCCTCTGACCCTCCCCCCCTCTCATGTGCTCTCTGTCTCTCTCATTCTGTCTGTCTCAAATAAATAAATAAAATCTTTAAAAAAAAAAATAAGTCTTCTGGTTAACAATAGGCTATTAGTAGTTAAGTTTTGGGGGGTCAAAAGTTGCATGTGGATTTTCGACTGCATGGGGGTATTTTGTTATCCCCAGTGCCCCTAACCCCTGCGTTGTTCAAGGGTTAACTGTAGATATTGCTGTATTATCCTCCATAGAGGTTTGATTAATTTACAGTGCCTTCCCCCTGCACTATCATATATGAGTTTCCTCACACCCCACCAATACAATTTATCAAGTTTTTTTAAGTTTTATTAATCAGATAGGTGAAAAATAGCATTTCACTATCACATTAATTTGCATTTCCCTTTTCAGGACTGAGCTTGAACATCTTTGCTTACATGAAGTCATGTCTTCTTCCTCTGCTACAAACTGTTGAGGTACCTTGCTCATTTTTCCATTGGTTTGTTGTTGGTTTCTTTAAAACTGATTTGATTTGTAGGTGCTTTATATATATATCAATGCAATTAACATTTGGTCATTTCATATATGGTGCAAATATTTTCTGCCAATCGTCCTTGATCTTTTTACTTAGTTGATGCCTGTTTTTGGTTTTCTTTTTGTCTTAAGGGTTTTTTTTGTTGGTGTTGTTTTGGGAGGGGGGTTGTCCAGTGTTTTATTTTCTCTAATTTATTTATTTATTTAAGTAATCTCCACACCCATCATGGGGCTGGAACCTATGACCGCAAGATCAAGAGTTGCATGGTCTTCTGACTGAGCCAGCCAGGAGCCCCTGTTTAGTGTTTTCTTTTATGTCTCTGGCTTTTATGTCATGCCTAGAAAGCCTCTTCCACTTAGATTATTTTTTATTTTCTTCTTTATTTTTTTTAAGTTTTATTTATTTATTTGAGAGAATGAGAGAGAGAGCACAAGCAGGCGGAGGGGCAGAGGGAGAGGGGGAAGCAGACTCCCCGCCAAACAGGGAGCCCGACTCGGGGCTCGATCCCAGGACCCTGAGATCATGACCTGAGCCAAAGGCAGACGCCCTAATGGACTGAGCCACCCAGGCACCCCTCAGATTATTTTTTAAATGTCTCTTATTTTTCTGTTATTTTTCAACTTTATGGAGATATAATTGATATATAACATTGTGTAAGTTCACAGTTGGATCCCCTTACGTATTGCAAAATAATGGCCACCATTGCATTAGCTAACAGCTCCATCATGTTATTTATATAATTACCATTTCTTCTTGTGTGTGGTAAGAACATTTTAGATATACTCTCTTAGCAACTTTCAAGTATTTAAGTATAAAATGCAATACTGGTCATTGTAATCACCATGCTGTACCAGACCCCCAGAACTTATTCATCTTATAACTAGAAGGTTTTACCCTTTGACCAATATTTTGCCATTTCTTTCATCACCTAGCTCCAGGTAACCACCTTTCTGAGTTTGACTTTTTTAGATTCCAAATATAATAGAGATCATACAGCATTTATCTTTCTGTCTGACTTACTTCACTTAGTATAACGCCCTCAGTGTTCATCCATATTGTTGCAAAAGGCAGGGTTTCTTTCTTTCTCATGGCTGAATCATATTCCATTGTATTTATATACATTTTCTTTATCCATTCATCAATTGCTGGACACTTGGGTTCTTTCTGTATCTCAGCTATTGTGAATAATGCTACAGTGAACGTGAAAGTGCAGATATCTCTTCAAAATCCTGGTTTCATTTCCTTTGGATATATACTCAGAAGTAGGATTACTGAACCATATGGTAGTTCTTTCTCTCTTTTTTTAAAAGATATATTTATTTATTTTAGAGAGAGTGTGTGCACAGGAGGGAGGGGCAGAGGGAGAGAGAGAGAGAGAGAATCCTAAGCAGACTCCCCACTGAGCTCAGAGCCCCATGCAGGGCTACATCCCATGAGCCTGAGATCATGAGCTGAGCCGAAATCAAGAGTTGGACGCTTAACTGATTGAGCCACCCACGTGCCCCGTGACAGTTCTATTTTTAATTTTTTGAGAAAACTTCATGTTGTGTTCCATAGTAGCTGAACCAATTTACATTCTCATCAACAGTGCACAAGGATTCCCTTTTCCCCCGTCTACCCACCCACACTATCTCTTGTCTTTTTGATGATAGCCATTCTAACGGGTGTGAGATGATATCTCATTGTGGTTTTGAATTGCATGTCCCTGATGATGAGTGATGCTCAGCATCTTTCCATGTACCTGATGGCCATTTGTGTGTCTTCTTTGGGAAAATGTCTATTCAGTTCCTCTGTCCATATTTTTAATTGGATAGGGAATTTTTTTTGTTGTTTTTTTTGTTTTGTTTTACCATTGAGTTGTGCGAGTTCTTTATATCTTTTGGATATTAACCCCTTATTAGATATATAATTTGCAAATATTTTCTCTCATTCCATTCCCTTTCATTTTGTTGATTCTTTCACAGAGCAGAAGCTTTTCAGTTTGATGTAATCCCACTTATTAATTTTTGCTTTTGGTGCTTGTGTTTTTGGAGTCATATGCAAAATAATCTTTGCCAATGGCTCCAGGTCTTATGTTTAAGTCTTTATTCTATTTCAAGTTTAATTTTTGTGACCAATGTAAGATGGGGGTCCAGTTTCATTCTTCTGCATCTGGTTATCTAGTTTTCCCAACACAATTTATTGAATGTTTACCTATTTATTTTCTAGTATTTTTATTGCTTGCATTTTAAACTATAAATGTGATTCTTTTATTAATTTTGGTAGAAGGAAAGATTTAGAGATCCGATTCTTTTTTTTAGATGTTTCTCAGGGTACCTAACACCACTTATTCATTAATTCATCTCCCCCTCCAATATGAAAAGCCATCTTTTAGTATACTAAGTGCCCTTAAGTAGCTGAATATTTCTGAACTATATTCTGTTTCCTGAATCTGTCTCTTTATATCCCAGTATGAGGCTGTTTTGATCACTGTAGCTTTCTTGTAAGTCTTGTACTATCATTTGTAGTATCATATTTTTTATTTTAAAGATTTTATTTATTTATTTATTTATTTGATTGAGAGAGAGAGAGAGAGCACAAGTGGGGGAGATGTGGGGCTCGATCCCAGGACCCTGGGATCATGACCTGAGCCGAAGGCAGATGCTTAATGACTGAGCCACCCAGGAGCCCCTGTGGTATCATTTTTATCATTTCTCTTAACCAAGATATTTAAGCCTGGAAGTGACAAGTTTGCATATGTGCTTTGAGGGATCCTCTGGAGACGACATAGAATATTGGTTGTAGAGAGGAGACAAGCCAGTTGCAGAGATCTGACATGAGAGATGACGAGGGCCTCATTGAAAGCAATGGGGTTGGCTGGGAGGGAGCACATAGAGGTAGAATTGATGGTTTGCTGTGGGAGATCAAAGTGAAGGAGAGGTGGAAGATGGTGCTGATGTTTCTACCCTGTGCTGTTTGCCAAGAAGGGGAAGCCATAAATTTGGTTGTGGGGAGAGGAAGGAGAAATTTGTTAGCTTACAGACATTCATGTACATTGAGAGAGTGGGCAGCAACGTGCTTGTGTCCCTGCCAGCATGCATGGTTGCGTGTCTTGGTATAGCGTACACATTGGTTCACAGATTTACTTATTTTAGTTTGTTCATCTGTGGTGCTCACCAGCTCTCACCAGCAGCTTTCCTGCCCGTGGTCTCTCCATCTTGGGGACCCATCCTCCCCAGGTCCATCCTACCCTCTCTGCTTAAAGAAATCTTACCTATCAAGATTCTGGCCAAATCCCATCCTCCAGGGAAGTCTTCCATATCCATATTAGCCTTTGGCAGCTGCTTTCAGACAGTCTTCAATTTCGAGTCATCCAAGCACTACAGACCAAAATCAACTGGATGTGCTGAAACCCTAATATACTTGTGCCTCCATGTGGCTCAGTCTGTCCAGAGCATTAACTAAAATTTAACTCTCCACCTAGATTTCTTCCTGACAGTGTGTGTTGGTCTTTTTTTTCTTTCTTTCAATTCGTTTTCTTGCTCTTAAGTCTTTGTTCTTATTAAAAAAAAAAAATTCTCTTTTTCTCTAGATTCATCTTGCTCTCTTGCTCTCCATTGCCCTTTGTCTGTGGACTCATTGCCAGGAATTGAGCTGACAAAAGCAAAGTATCTTTAAAGGGCAGAAGAGTGAAGCAGGGGGAGGAAGGAAGCAAGCACAATGATCTTTCTTTTTAGCACGATGTGGCAGGGAGAGATGTGAACACTTGGACGTGAATTAGTGTTGTCCTGCCACTGAGCTGAGATCATTGGGAGAAGCAGCAAGTTAGCAAGAATCCTTTCACTTGCTCTGAGAAGACAGATACACTCTGAGCTTTTCCTGGTTAGAGCCCAATTGTGTGTTTTCATGTTGAAAATAATCTAGTTCCACCTACTCTCTAAAACAAGTGGTAACTAAGGTGTCCTTTGGAGTCACTGAATGGTGAGATTTTAGATATTTGGTTAGTTAGTACCCATCCATCCTGGGACACTGACTCTATCTAGTGGAAGCTTTTTCTTTTCCACCCAAACAATAGATGTGAGGTAGGCAATTCAAAGGAACATTTATTTATTTAGAGAGAGAGACAGCAGGGAATGGGGGGGGGGGCAGAGGGAGAGAGAGAATCCCAAGTGGACTCCCTGTTGAATGTGGAACCTGACATGGGGCTCAATCCCATGACCCTGAGATCGTAACGTGAACAGAAATCAAGAGTCAGACGTTCAACTGACTGAGCCACCCAGGAGCCCCCAAAGCAACATTTAAACAGGAAGATACTCTGGGGTGCCTGGGTGGCTCAGTCGGTTAAGTGGCTGCCTTCGGCTCAGGTCATGATCCCAGGGTCCTGGCATCAAGTCCCACATCGGGCTCTTTGCTCAGCAGGGAGCCTGCTTCTCCCTCTCCCTCTGCCTGCCCCTCACCCTGCTTGTGCTCTCTCTCTCTCTGTCAAATAAAAATAAAAACCTTTTAAAAAAATAAAAAATAAATAAACAGGAAACTACTCTGCCTCAGAAGCAGGAGGAAATGTGGTGCAGCCCTGGGCCCAGGCTGCCCTCCTTATTTGCACATACGGCTAGCTCACCACGCCACACGTGCAGCCACGCTCACAGAGCAGACCCCTCCGCTCCGTGCTGGTTGCCCCTGAAAGGCGGTGGTAAGGACGTATTCCCAAAACTACCCAGCTTTGAAAGTAGAATCATTGGGAAAAATTCATATACTTTCTTTATGGCAGGACATGCTCCTCTTAGACTAAATGGGGCTTCCTTTTCCTCCTCCTCCATTTCTAGGTGAGGCAATCAGCACCTCTCAGGAAGCCCCACAGAGATCATAAAAATCCATGCCTCACAGTGGAAAGAGCTCTGCAGTCCCCGAATTTAGGTTCGAATTCATTGACCTTAAACAAGTCTCTTTGAACCTCAGTCTCCT